GAGAAGGGGGCCCGGCGCCGCGCGGAGACGCCGCGAAGGGCCCGGAGAGCCCGGAGGAAACGGCGAAGGCTCCGGGAAGAGCTGGAGGCGCCTTCTGGAAAGGCCCAGAGGAGGCTCTGGAAAGATCTGGAGGCTCCAGGAAGTCTTGGAGACTCTGGAAAGATTTGGAGACTCCAAAAAGTCCCGAAGGTACCGGAAAGACTCTGAGACTCTGGAATGTTTTAGAGATTCCAGGAAGTCTTGGAGACTGGAAAGATTTGGAGGCTCCGGGAAGGCTTGGAGACTCTGGAAAACCCTCCAGAGTCTCCCAGAGGTTCCAGAAAGTCTCTGAGATTCTGGAAAGTTTTGGAGACTCCAGGAAATCTCAGAGACTCTGGAAAGATTTGGAGGCTCCAGGAAGTCCCAGACGTTCCAGAAAGTCTCTGAGACTCTGGAGTGTTTTGGAGACTCCAGAAAAATCTCAAGAGGTTCCAGAAAGTCTCTGAGGCTCCAGAAAGTCCCAGAGGTTCCAGAAAGTCTCGGAGACTCTGGAAGGATTTGGAGACTCCAGGAAGTCTTGGGAGACTCTGGAAAGCCTCCAGGAAGTCCCAGAGCTTCCAGAAAGTCTCAGAGACTCTGGAAACTCTTGGAGACTCCAAAAAGTCCCAAAGGTACCAGAAAGACTCTGAGACTCTGGAATGTTCTGGAGACTCCAGGAAACCCCAGAGGTTCCAGAAAGTCTTGGAGACTCTGGAAAGATTTGGAGACTCCAAAAAGTCCTGAAGGTACCAGAAAGACTCTGAGACTCTGGAATATTTTAGAGATTCCAGGAAGTCTTGGAGACTCTGGAAAGATTTGGAGGCTCCAGGAAGTCTTGGAGACTCTGGAAAGCCTAAGTCCCAAACACCAGAAAGTCTTGGAGATTCTGGAAAGATTTGGAGACTCCAAAAAGTCCTGAAGGTACCAGAAAGACTCTGAGACTCTGGAATGTTTTGGAGACTCCAGAAAAATCTCAGAGGTTCCAAAAAGTCTCCGAGGTTCCAGAAAGTCTTGGAGACTCCGTAAAGATTTGGAGACTCCAGGAAGTCTCGGAGACTCCGGAAAGCCTCCAGGGAGTCCCAGAGGCTCCCAAAAGTCTCTGAGACTCTGGAAAGTTTTGGAGACTCCAGAAAAATCTCAGAGGTTCCAAAAAGTCTCTGAGGCTCCAGGAAGCCCCAGAGGTTCCAGAAAGTCTCTGAGACTCTGGAAAGTTTTGGAGACTCCAGAGAATTCCAGAGATTCAAACAAGTCTCGGAGACTCTGGAAAGTTTTGGAAACTCCAGAAAGCCTCAGAGAGTCTCAAAAGCTCCAGAGGCTCTGGAAAATTTGGGAGGCTCCAGGAAGCTTTGGAGGCCCCAGAAATCTTGGGATGCTCTGAAAAACTTGGATAATTCTGGAAAGCTTCAGGGGCTCCTAAAAGCCCCCCAGACTCCGGCAAACTTTGGAAGCTCCTTCTAGAAAGCCCCAGAGATTCCAGAAAGCCTTTGAGGCTCCAAACACCTTCGGATGTTCTGGGAAGCTTCAGAGGCTTCTAAAAGCCCAAGAGACTCCGTAAAACTTTGGAGGCTCCAGAAATCTCGGAGGCTCCGGAGAGTTTAGGATGCTCTGAAAAGTGCTGAAGATTTCGGACAACTTCGGAGGCTCCAAATAGCCTCAGAGAGTCCAGAAAACTTTGGAGGCTCCTTCCAGAAAGCCTCTGAGATTCCAAAAATCTCAGAGGCTCTGGGAAGTTTTGGGGACTCTGGAAAGCCTCCAAGGCTCCAGAAAGCTCCAGAGGACCTAAAAAGCCTAGGAGACTCCAGAAACCTTTGGAGGCTCCGGAAATCTTTGGAGGTTCTGGAAAGTGTTGAAGATTTTGGAAAGTTTCAGAGGCTCCCAAAAGCCTCTGAGATTCCAGAAAACTTTGGAGGTCCCAAAAACTTGTGGAGATCAGGAAAGCCTCGGAGACTCCGAAAAACTTCCGAGGCTTCAGAAAGCCACAGAGACAAAAGCCTTGGAGACTCCAGAAATCCGGAGGCTCTGGAAAAGCCTTGTAGGTTCCAGAAAACTCCGGAGGTTCCGGAAAGCCTCGTTTGGAATGTTTCAAAGGCTCCGGAAACTCCAGGAAGCTTCGGAGGCTCTGGAAGAGCTCAAAGATTCTGGAAAACTGCAGAGACCCTGGAAAACCTTGGAG